GCGTCATTAGAGTTAAAATTCGAGAAGGCAAAGGACATTTCAGTAACTGAAAAGTCCTAATATATGTAAAGATAAGAATGGGTAGGAAGCTTATAGTAAAGATGCTGAATCAATTGATTTCCTGAGTTAATTTGCAGATTTCGTACAATTTCAATTCAGATATCTAAAGGATATGTTAAAGAGCTTAACTGCATCCAGTTGGAAAGAGATGAAAAACATTCCACAAAAAAAGTCTCCTGTAAATCAATAATAATTACACAGCATAGTAGTGATTCAAAAAAATAAAAATTAGTCCTTTTGGAGAAAGAGGGAGAGCCCAGACCAAAAACTGGAATAAAAGTTAGAGTTAAACAGGAAAGGAATTTATATACTCCACTTGGATTTAGGATTTAGGAAAGTCAGTTCTAGAAACAGTAAAGTAGGATTACCATTTTAGAAGCAAGGTAATGCTTTAATTATGAGGTAATGAGAGAACATACAAAATATGTGGCCAGATAAAAGTATTTAAACATTTAGATTTTTATGAACTTGAAAGGGAACATTTAGATAAATGGGAGTATGGGGGAGGATTTGTAGTAAACATGATGGGGAAAACCAGACTATCCCAAGTGCGTGGAGGGGCTTAACCAGCAAAAAACACCAAATCCCTGATAAACAAGCGGTCGAGGCATACGGACGCACAGTCCACAAAAGTAGAAATACAAAATATAAGTATTTGAAAAATGTTCAATCACACATGTAAATTCAAAATGATAATGGGCTACCAGCTCATACCTCTGGAAGATGAAAAATGGCCCCACACTCTGGGAAACCCTGAAGAATACTCACAGCTGGTATCATTACAAAGATAAAATGATCCATCTTTTTGTGCAGTATGACAATATGTAGTTAGAGCCAAACGGTGGACCCCCCCTTTGATCAGAAATCCAATTCCTGAGAACTTGCTTACTGGAAATAAGCAGATATAATCAAACTCTGCCCGTCAGACCAAATGTCAGAACATCGGCATCTCCTTCATAGGCCTGTGAAGGAGAAGAAGGTAAGTCAAGGACAGCGAGCTCATGCCCTGGACTCCGCTCTTCTGCGATAGCTAAGTTCAAAAAATGGGCGGAGTCACAGTTCAAGTGTGTTTTAGTGTGTGCAGCCCTCTTGTTTGTCAGGGGCGAGATGTGACCCTTTGTGCCTGAGAACTCCTCAGTGATCTGTGCGATACAGTAAGATCATCGCTTATTGGCCTTGCAAGCATCATTCCCTTTATTAGGTGGAATAATGTAAGGTGTGGGTGTGGCAAGTAATATATATATAGTAGAGCCCATCCCCCACAAGTGTGGGCAAGGGAACAAACCCAACCAGAAAAGCTGGCTGTGGGGCCAGTGGTAAAGCTGGGGAAGGGAGTCTCTTGGAAAGTGCTAGAATTTAAAGCAGTTCTCATTTATCAAAATATCACCAGTAGGCAGTGGGTGGTGAACATCCATTGAATGGATTGATGTTTTAAGTGCAAACAGGCTTTCAAAGGTGAAATCACAAATGAATGATGGGAGACTGGATTGCTGCATCCCGCAGCCAACAACAGGCCAGGCTTCTTCTCCTCCCCTCTGGATTTCAACCCTTTGCAGTTGGTGGTGACAACCACCATCTTCCCACAAGCACGAGGAGGTGTGCATGCCCTGAGCGTGTGTGTGCAGGACACGTGCAGAGTCAACAGCTCGTTCATCAGGCCCCACTGTGGGAGTGTTAGAGTCAAATGTATTGTCCGAAAAAAATACAAGTTTATATTTTTAGTCTATTAGGCTCCGTATGCCCTTGGTTTTTAAACAGAGAGTAATAAGCCTAATTTTTTACGATGAGCACTGTTTTCAATTGTGAAGTGGCAGTTCAACCTTGATAAAGTCGCTGAAGTTACTGGTACTTGACCACAGAGTGTGTGTGTGTGTGTGTGTGTGTGTGCACGCACACGCACGCATGTACAAGCATAAAGTAACATAATTAGTTAAAAAATGGAAAAGAAAAATGCTATTAAGATGAAAAATGCAAAGTTAATTTAATATAGTAAATCAACTTAAATGATCTCAAAACTAAGGAAATTGTCTCGGGCCAGCAACAGTAGCTGTTTCTTAAATGAAGCATAATCCCAGCCCTTTTCTTTGCTCATTACGGCAAGGCAGACTCTAGACCATTATCTTGCAGCATTTATGAACAGGCTGCAAAAGGCTTAAGCCAAAGCATTTATGTCCAAAGTGCAGTGTAACCTTTTTTTTTTTCTTTCCTGGTTGCCAGTTAAGTCAGCTTTCCACGATCTGATAAGCCCAGTGCTCGGTACCAGTACCTTTAATTTGCTACATGGAGCTACAAAGCCCCAGCTTCTCTGCCATTTATAGTGATGTGGTAGAGACACGTTAGAAGAGCTTTGTGGATGTGGGTTCGGTTAGATGGAGCCTCACACTTGCATGGCCTTTGTGGCCCCTATCCAGTGCATATACCCTTCTCCTAGTTTCATGCCCTCGGCAGACAGGACTAATCCATCAGAGCCCTTCTCCTCCCTCATGCGGGCTTGGCCTTCCTGATCTCAAAGTGCTCCAGGCTGCCCATCTGGGCCACGGGAGTTACTCCCAGGCAGCTGTTTTGCCAACTCAGCTCTAGATTGATGTGGAATATCTCGCTGACTGTTCATCCTCCTGCATAGTGCCAAATGCACTAACAAGAACCTGCATTGAAATAAGGTTTTCTAAGATGATTTAAAGGGGTGGAGTGTTCCGTGTGTACGCCATGCCCCATGTGCGCCCCCCCCCCCAGCCAGATGTTCTTGCACGGAGAAGAATGGGAAAGGGAAAGGACTAACAGGCTGTCTGTGTAGATTGTGGGTGACTGTGTCTGCCACAGTCACCGTTTACATGGAGTTCATGCTCCCCTGCCTGTCTTCTTAACAGTTTCGTCTGTGCCACTTGGTTCAATGTCAGTAACTACTAGGTCACTGAATATTTATCATCACAGAAATAAACTGTGGAAGAATAAAGCTTCCACTGGAAACTGTCACTAAGGTTAGCTACTTTACAGAGCAGTTAAGTGTCTGGACTTAATCAAGCAGCGTTCTGTTTGGATTTCAACCTCCCAGCTTTTCAGATCCAGAGTGAAATCCTCTTCGTGAAATTACACTGTTGGCAAAACTCCCCTTCTGGCTTCCTGCCTCCTGACCGGTAGGACCTTGTTTCTCCCCAAGGAATGCTTGAATGACTGCCAGCAGCAAGTTCTGTTTCTGTCAAATATGGGGATATTTTATCAATTAAGGTAAAAATAGATGGAGCAAGCGAAGACGTTTTCATCCAGAGATTTCGGCTAGACCATCAGACTCAAATATATTAAGAAAGATGGAAACTCACCAAATTATCACTGGATTGCATAAAATCTGGATGAGTCAATAGAACTCTTTTAAAGAGTGAGAAAACTAAATTCTTTATCTGTTTTGACCTTCCTTTTTTGTCAGTAAATTTACTGTAGAAAAAAATAAATCCGCTGTTTTTTTTTTTTTTTTAAGTGTGAGGCATTATTCGGGATCATCACAGAAGAGAGGGTTCTCTTGGATGTCATGGCAGCCCCAGACCCTCCCAACCCCACCCCTGGAGCTGCTCAGCCCCTGGCCAGTGTGCCCTATGATTCCTGCCCCCACCTCTGCCATTTACATCCTGTTCTGTGTAGAAGCAGGCAGTACCCAAATTGTGCCATTAATCTTAATTAAATTACAAATCGTCTCCTCATATGCACAAATCCTACGAGTCAGTACCAAATTGGGAACGTGGTTGTCTCTCAGGAATACATGGTTACAGAATGCCCCATCATCTTGTAGGTTTGAAGTGTGGATGACATGCTTAAAGTTTTATAGACCTACTGGTTGAAGGACATCTGTGTACCTGTCACAGATGTTGGGAAATCTGATCTAGGAAAGCGAGCTGCAAGGCTGGAGAACGCCCTGCGGTCATGCAGGGTGCTCAGCACCACTTCCTAGAGGGTTCGGGGCCCCTGGTGGGAGCTCCCAGCACAATGCCCGCGGCGTTCCAGCTCGCTTTCCTTCATGCGCCCTGGCAGCCTCCCCCATTCCTTCTAATTAACAGGAAGTGCAAGACCCTCCATAAACCAGACAAGCAGGTAGCCTCATTAGGAGACTCGTCTAGCAGCCAGAGGGAGACAGAGTGGGATAAATTAAGAACAGAGCACCCCTGATGCGGACTTGAGTGCAGTTTCTCAGCCATTAATCAAATCATATGAAAAAGACACTGCAGCACTCATACACCTGCTGTATCCCTTGGATTCCAACTGTAGATGCATATGTGTGCTCAGGCACCAAGGAAAGAGACACCAGGGAATGGGGGAAGTGGATAATTAGATATATTCCCGGTTCTCACCTCCACCTCGTTCAAACGCGGGACTGTTTTTCTGCATGTCATTCAGCATTTCTGGACCGATGCTCTCGGGTGAGTGTTCGGCCCGCAGAGCTGGGCCAGGCTGGTGCCTGTTTCAAAGATTATCACACTCCCTTTCCTGCCCTAGCTCGGGAAACGTTGAATGTGAAGTTACTGGTGCCAATAGAAATGGCCTGGTGCCAAGCTAAGGCTGGGTAGTCAGGCTGACCATTGTTAGCACGGCTGTTTCTAGTAAGATTACGAAGCTAAGCTCGCTCACCACCCCACTTTCACATTCACGGAGTGGGTCGTTTAAGCAAACCCCAAATGGTCTCGTGTTCTTACGGCTGGACTCGCCTGTGTGAGGCACGCCGCTTCTCTTCATTGCACACACGTGTGTGCATCCAGCCAGGACCATTACACGTGCAACGTTGAACCACATTGCTCGGCATCGCATGTTATTGGCTGTCGTGGGCCACGCCTCATCCAGCTCGACGCGCGCACAGGCTCTCCGGGACCCCATTATCTGAGTCTTGTGTGGGCCCCAGAGGATTCCAGGTGCATGGAGATACCACTGTTCATAGGAAATTCTAAATCTTATTTCAGGTCTTGACTCAGATGAAGAACTTGGGCTGCTCTGTCACCACGCGTCCTATCTCGGTGATTGTCCGGGGCTGACCACGGGCTCTGGATGTTCTGTAACCTTTCCTTTTTATGTCCCGTGTCTGCACGTCTGCATGGTTCTCTGAGCTCGGAGGGTTGGCACGCACAGGGGACGTGGGTCCTGGCTGCTGTGTCTCCGGGATGCTCCCCCCGACCCCGGGGTTGGGGCCCCCTCACGGAGGGGTCCGTCTCCTCTGTTCTGTTAATCAGCCACATCATCCTGCGACGCCATTATTTTGTTATTTCGTGGCCAGCCGGCAGCTTTGGCATTTCTTGGGATGTGGAAGGAAGAAAGCAAATTGGCTCTAGCAAATTGAGGATCTGCTGATCGTCCCCGTGGCTGTGATGTGCGCATGCCATACAGCCCCCGAGGACAGCCAATCCTGATGCTTTCTGATTGTCAGCAGCTTGCCTGAGTTTGTTTTTCTTTGTTTTGTTTAAAACAGGGCAGTCACTGATTGGGGGGGGTGCGGGGTGGGGTGTTTGGGGTTAGTGACCAAATTCGCTTCCACAAACATGGCCCGGCGGCTAGTACTCAACTTCCTTGGCGTGTGTGTGTGTCTTCCCTCCTCAGACCAGAGAGTGGCGTCCTTCTGTACTCTGACCGATATGCAACATGGGCAGGACCTGGAAGGCGCACCAGAGCCGCCTTTATGTGTAGACCCAGGCAGCGGCAAAGATTTTATGGACACAACTGGGTATGTGAGGCCCTGGGGAGCCCCCCTCCCCTCCTCTCTCCCCAAGCCCCTAAGTAACAGGTTCAGCAGAGCCCCAGGCCACCAGGAGATCACTTCCAGCCTGCGGCCCCCACTTGGGTCCTTCGGGATCCAGATATGGGACTGAGTGGGGCCACCCTTGCTCCCTGCCCCGCTGGGGTGGGCGGCTCTTGGTAGCAGAAGTGCTCTGCTGTGGGCGGTCCCTGCCTGCTAAGACATGCCACCCCGTGCCCATGGTGACGAGGCTCTGTGACAGAGAGTGGGAGGGTGGCAGCTGGGCTCCACGTCTGCCAGTAATTGCTGCCACAGCCCCGGACGGACAGGGACCTTGCTGATCAGTGTCTCGCTGCCAGGCTGCACGTGGGCACCTGCCAGGGGCACAGCTCCCCCCCGAAGCCTGGTCCTTGACCTCGACCTCAGGCAAAGGGACCGTCTCCTTCCCCTATATTCTTGACATGTTTGTCACCCACAGAGTCTATATGCTTTACCTAATTGCAACTTTTATATGAACTTGTGTGACCATTAACTGGGCCATTCATCTTGGTAACGAGCTTCATGATATTTTCTTGACAGAGAAAAGCAAATTGGGGAAATCGAATCTATATTTGGTTCCCAGGACCTCAGTGGTCTGCCTAGTCTCAGTTGGCTAAACTGATTTAGATCATCTATCTTCTGGGTTGTGTGTGTTTGTTTGTTACCAACATATAAGCCTGTAGAGATTCTGAATCCCTTTTTAAATCAACAGAGACCCAGAAGGGGTTTTCTACCAAAATACTGTATGTTCCCTTTCCATATCTGGCATAATATTATTTATTTCCTCGCTGGACTCTAAGCACATGAAATAATTCTTTGAGTGAAAACTTTACCAGCAAAGGTACTGAGTGTTGTATCTTTACCTCCGTGGCCTTGAGTCTTTGTGATTCCGCCCTTCTTTTTTAGGGAGCGGTCTCCATCCACACTGACCGGAAAAGTCAATCAGCTGGAGTTGATTCTTCGACAGCTGCAGACTGACCTTCGGAAGGTAAGGGGATCTGTTACAGTCCATCCTCAGAAGTCTGTCTTGCACAATCACCTGCTTCTAACCAGTAGAGATAAGAATGAAGACACTCAGGAAAGATAACCCTCCTAGTCAAAGCCAACAATAGATAGAAACAGAGACCCCTAAGGTCTAATTCTCCTTTCTGGCCTCCAGCTCATATTTTTCACTCCAAGGGGAGCCAGGGGGTGCAGGAAACAGGACTAAATGAGGGTGAGCCCTCTGGACGGTCTTCAGGACGAGGTAGAAACATACAGGCGACTAGCATTTTTTGGTTCGGTGAGGGATCAGTTGTACCGACTATTTATGAGCTGACCTAAGAGGAGTTAGTTGCTGCCAGAAAGCCTGTTCTCCCCAAGCTATTGTATTCCCACTGAGTCGGCTACATGACCCTCACAACTGCTGCTCTACACCCTCCACGTCCAGGTGTGCGTGGTCGGTCCCCATTAGAAGTTAACTAATTCATTCCTCAAACCTTTGCTGAGCCCTTGTTACCCAGCACTGTGCCGGGTGACTGTCGTGCTGTTCCTGGGAATGGAATGGAGTGTGCTAGCAGGAGGGCAGCAGGGACACGTCACAGGAAGGGTTTTGTTACTGCTTTGTTTGTTGAAGAAGGGAGAAAACTGCAACTGGTGTCAATGCTGGTGGAATGATCCAGTTGGGAAGGAGATAATGGTGGGGGGAAGAGTCGGAGGGTTACGCCCTGACCTAGTGCACAAGGCGGGGACTGGCCTTGATTCAGAGTGGAGACAGTTTACATAGAGAGCAGAGTAGAACAGGGTGTGTGTGTGCATGTGCACGCACGTGTATGTGTTTGCACACGCGTGCATGCATACATACATTCACACACACGTAGTCAGAGATAGGTCGGCAGAGTTCCCCTCTGATGGTTTCTTTTTTCCAGTCATGAGCTGAGAGTGAGTGGTGGTGGGAAGGAGGAGGAAGGGTTTGAGGTCAGAGGGTAAGGTGCAGAGTAGTGAGTAAATGCACTGGGTGATATTTGATAGGATTTGCCAAGCAAAGCTGAAGGTACATTTGAATTTGCAGCCTCAGTTAAAGCGATCGTCTGTTGGCAGAGTTGGTGTTTCTCTCCAGCTTGGATGGCCACCTGTTTGCCTGGGGAGGAGAGGTTCCGAGATGCAGAATCTCCAGGGCTAGAACCGGAAATGTCCCAAGCAAACTGGGACATCACCCTGCCCCCAGCTGTAGGTGTAGGCCAGTTGGAGAGTTGAATGTAAGAATTGAGACAGGAAGTCAAGACAACGAGAGAGAGAGAAAGAGACAGAGCCCCGGGCGTATCTATAGGATGGGATTAGACTGAGGGACCTAGAGTGTAAGCTGGGTGAGGCGACATGCTGTCACAGCAGGAGACAGTGAAACTAAGGTAAGCCTGGTGCATTAGATAATTACTGGAGGAGTGGATACTGAGGGACGATTCTAGAAGGACAAGAGGTGGTGGTCCGGAAATGGGAGGCTAAAGCAGGAGCACACTGCTTTTTATGGGTAATGGCAAGGTACAAGAGGTGGCTGTGGGAGCAGGGGTTGAGGAGGGCTGGGTTTCCAGATCACAGAGAGGAAGTGGTGGAGAGGCTGGATTGGATTTGGAAACATCAGCACACATGACAAGTGGTAGGGGAGAGAAGAAAAGCGAACCACATTCTATGGTCCTCCGTGAGTGATGGGAGGGACTGGAGACAGCGTAGATAATTGCAGTGAGCAGGGGTGGCAGGTCCTCTAACCTGAGGTCGCACTTCTCAGAGGAGCTGAAGTTTCAGGGAAGAAACCCCCTGAGTACTGCGAGATAAGCTGTTTGCCAGACCACCAGGCCTCAAGTCTTCCCACTACAGGCAGACACTGTCTCTCCCCTCAGTGAGCAGCCAGGGAAGCAGTGTGCTCAGGAGAGAGCCGGGATTCATCTAGAGGCATGAGGATGAAGGGATTTTCAGGGACGAGGTTGACCGTTTCCAGGGTTTTCAGGGCAGAGTCCCAGTTGCACGGGTCACAACGAAAGGGGTGAAGGGGTCTTGGAGAGGCGGGCCGCTGAGTGGCTTCGGGCACATGCGATGCTCGGAGGCACGCTGGGAGAGGGGATGTGCCGGGCCCGCGTGTGACGCCGGCTGTGTGCACTCTTCCCAGGAGAAGCAGGACAAGGCGGTCCTCCAGGCCGAAGTGCAGCACCTGCGCCAAGACAACATGCGGCTGCAGGAGGAGTCGCAGACGGCCACCGCGCAGCTGCGGAAGTTCACCGAGTGGTTCTTCAACACCATCGACAAAAAGTCTTAACCCGGCCCTGGCCCGCGGGGGGGAGCCTCGGGGAGACGCCCCGCACCCCCCCCCCGGAACTTGCCAACGCGTGGTTTCTCAGTGTGCTTGCAGCCAATTGTAGATGTTTTTGCCGTCCCACCCCGTCTAGCACCATTCACCCCCGCAGGGTAGGGAGGCGACTCTTTCCTTGGAAGCCATCTGGTGACAGCAGAGAGGACAGCGAGGCCGTGCGCACATGAATGTAACTCCCGGTGTCGAGATGAATGTAAACCCCGGCGTCGGTTGGGGCCTCTTTGTGTCGGACTCCACTGCCCCGGTGCTCAGGCGCGGGCATACCTCAAGAGGGGAGAGAGTGGGGCTTCACGTCCTATGGATCAGGTGACCTGGTAGAGATGGTAGAAGCAATTGACCATAGTTTGGGCTTTAGTATTGTAACATAAACCCGGAAACAAATAATCAGACATATACTTTAATGTTAAAGGTGCTCTATTTTTTTGGATGTATAGTAGTTTTATTTCTCACAACCACATTATCATAGCAATAAGAAAGAGGCATAGTTAACTAGTGAGAGAAGCCGTGTGGGGAAAATTAAAAAACAAAAAAAGCACTATGTCTTGAACACTAGTTTGAATGCAGTTCATTTAGAGACTTATTTATTTGCAGGAGCAAACCGTGCCTGAATATTAACAGTGTTCTGATTGAAAAAAAAAAACAGATACATATGCCTTGTATATGGCTCAATAAGCAGTCCCTTCAACTCTTAGTTCACTGTGTATAGTTTAACGCTCTGCTGAGAGTAGCGCACGCCTGCTTATGTCCTAGAACCTTCTAGAACCTCCCGTCGGCGGGAAGCCAGCAGAATCCCATGTATACAATGCCAAATTTGTTTATCTTTGTACAGAAGCTTTGATGAAGTGTCTTGTATTTAACGCCCTTATTTAAGCTTATTTAACCTTAAATTGTTAATTTTATAAACTTTGGTTTAACCTGCACTACGACGAGAGAGGTGTAGGTAGCAGCAAGCTCTGGAAGGCCGAGCTTGCCCGGAACAGACTGAGAAGCAGGGCGGGAAATTCTAACAACTGGATGCTGCTAGTAACAAGTCCTTTGTATTGCTTTACCATTTTTAACTGTTCTATTTGAGATGAACATACATTTTGCTTTTTTAATAAATGTTCAAAAGAGGCCACGTCAGTCACGGTGTTGTCAGGTGAATGTAGATTTTTAGCATCTCTGTGTCAATAATTTGAGTCTATGGGAATTTGTTCAGGGTCCTTAAGTATCTTAATCAGCACTGAATCCTGCTTTGCCGCCTTCTCATTGAATCGCGGACTCATTCGAAGGAAAGGGTAACTTGTATTAATAGCTGCTGTGTTCGACACACTCCCCTCTGCACATTTCATCAGCAGGATTCCCATTGTTACAGCTCAGGAAACTGAGGCTCAAGTTAAATGATTTACCCCAGCCAGGAATTTGGTGTTGCTTACAAGAAGATACAGAAGGCAAAAGAGTAGGAATTTGAGAAATAATTGGGAAGAGGTAAACTATAAATTTGAATCAAATGTAGGATGAAGAAGACACAGAATGTGGGCCCAAGTGGGAAGGGCGGAGCCCCGGTAAGGTACAAAGTTCTCAACCTTCTGAGAACAGAAATTATACAAAGAATTTGGAGGAAGGAAAGTGATTTCTAGAACTTAGCCAAAAGGGATGTCTTTCATGGGCTGCACCTGAGAGGTGTCCTGAAAATATTCTTAACGTTCCTATACCTGATGTAGAAGTAGGCTTCCTAAGGCTGTTTCCTGAGGCCACCCCGTGACCAATACGGGTGCGCTTCCAAAATGCCTCTAGTGAATGTAGTTTTTCAGGGAGTCAGGACGTTGTGGACCAGACAGAGATCTTCCCTGCCCCCTTTCTTTCCTGTCACTGTGTGCCAGACACTGTGCCAGAAGCCCAAGAGCCAACCAACAGGGGTCAAGACCCGGTGGGGCCTGTCTGCCTGGGGCATGCAGTCTATGTGGGGGGACAGACATAAGATTATTTCAGAATGTGAGAGGCAGAAATAAAGAGTGCCTGGGATGGCTTCCTTAAATAAACATTATAACAACTGACATTGTTTGGATGGGTCCTATGTGCCAGGCACCAACCTGGCCCTTTGTGATATCTGCAACAGCAGCCTGTGAGGTAATTATTACATGCACTCCCTCTATACAAATCAGGAATTGAGACATGGTGTGCTCATGGGAGGCCCCTGTGGGGGGGAGACTTTGAAGTTGGAAAGAAAGCCAGCCATGAGAAGCTGGGGGAAGAATATTCTAGAAAGAGGGGACACAGAGTTCAAGGGCCCTGAGGCTGTAGAAAGTCAGGATGCGCGGAACATAGGTAGTAATGGGGAAAGTGATAGGAACACATTGGAAAGATCGGTGAAGCCAGATTATTAAAGAATTTTAAGCTGTGGTAGAGTCTGGATTTTGTTCTAAGTCAAAAGGAGGCTGTTGAAGCAGGAAAGAGCAAAATAAGATCTGTGTTTTAAAACACTATTAGGAAAATGAATGAATGAATGCGTGAATGACTATTTGGACCTCTGAAGGAGAAAGGATCACCTAGGACAGGCATCTGCAAACTTCTTTGTGGAGACACGTACTTAATATTTTAGAGCTTGGGTGTCACATTCTATCTCTGTTGTATATTTTTAAATTCTGGTTACCCCTGAAAGCTGGAAGATCACTCCACCCTTTGCTTTTGGGCCACCCACCAGCATAGCTGACCAACCCCTGGGATAAGAGAAAGAGTAGAAAAGAGAGACCAGGGGTACCTGGGTTCAGGTCGTTGAGTGTCCGACTCTTGGTTTCAGCTCAGGTCAAGATCTTGGGGTCATGAGATTGAGCCCCACATCCTGCTCCCTGCTCTGTGGACACTCTCCTGGACATTCTCTCCCTCTGCGCATCCCCCTGCACTCACTCGCTCTCTCCCTCTCTCTCTCTCCCCAAAATGATAAAATAAAAATTAAACAAGAAAAAAAAGGAAAAGAGAGGTCCCGGGGAGAGGTGGGCACAGCTACAGTGGCCCGGGAAAGGTGGAGAAAAGTAGGTGAGTCACCCTTGGAAGCTAGAACCCACAGAACTGCTGATGGGTTGGAGACAGGAGGGAAAGTTTTGATTCAGAGAAAATAAGCCCTAAACTTCAGAAGAAAGGATGGACTCCATGTTCATCAGAGAGTTTTCCATAAATCTGTCCAACTTTCAATAAAAGCTTGCCAGCAGGTGGTCCTCGGCAAGGGCCTGAGAGCATCATTGACCAGCAGTGGGTGCATGTGCTACGGAGGGCAAGAAGCAGACAGAAATGTTGACATTGTTTAGAAAAAAGACAGGAATCTGACCAAAACCTAGCTGAATGGAGAGCAATCCCACCTTCCTAAAGGGAACCTGCAGACAAAACCAGAAGGTATTTTCTGAAGAAGTACTTCTCAGGCTTCACTAGCATAGGACTGAATCATCTCTCAAGTCTGCCCCTAAAGGGCCATGCCAAAGAATGGCCGAAATGATGTTGGCCTGTTAAACTTTTTTCAAAGGGGTGCTGCCCGCCAACAGCCAAGCCATAGAGAAATCTCCTCACGCTCCTATAGTATAAGTGGTTTTGGGCAACTCGGCATCCTAGTTACAAGATGTACCCTTTACCAACTAAACACGTTGACTTTCTGGAACATTCACCAAGTACAAACTAATTAAATATTGGAATATATCCACTAAAATTATTTTTACTTTGGAATAATTAATATCCAGCAGGTTTTTTTCTAACCATATGGAGTGATCTATTATGTATTAAGGCCAGTCAACTATGTGACAGAGCTAATTTGTATTTTAGAGGCTTCCATCCTGCTATTCTCTGTATCAAGGTTTAGCATTAAAAATGCAAGTTAAATTTGGGAGGGGCATGATCCCAGTCCTGCCTTTGCTGATCTCACAATTCTCTTTTGAAATGCCAGGAGTCTGTTGTTCTGATGGCGCATTAAAATGCAGAAATTGATTATATGTCAGTAACCAAAGTCTTCATCAAACTCGAAGCCATAAAACTAGAGCTTCCTGTCTACAAATTCAAAGAGATATCTACAAAAAAAACAGTAAGAATAATGTTCTTGAAAGATTTCTTCGTGAAGAACTATAACGGGTTAATATTGGAATACCAGGATATTAAAATAACTTGCTCCTTGTATAAAAATATGAGTCTGAGAGACCTGGAATTGTGGATTAGAACGAGAGCTGACGTAAAATTTAGACTGACCAGCCATGAATTCCCTAGTTTTGGAGAAACTGTGAACATAGCCCCTTGAAGAATCAACTCCACTCTTGTTTCCAACCAGGTGGAAAGCATGTCACTATCAACAAGCCGCCAACTTTATGGCCACCCTCCTCACCACTGGAGTCACCGTGAAATACATTTGGGCAAAACTTTGTAAGAGGCAAAGGCCCACCACTTCAAGTCTCAGCTTCTGGAGATTATTAAATAACCTCAGATCCTCTGATGTCAAGCCAATTCAGAATTTCCAAGTTGGGGATGGGGGGAGGGACGAAAGGAAGTGATACAGATTTTTACAGATGCTTTGCTCCTTAGAATTACTGGTAAGGGTAAGTTGCAGGTCGCTTGAGTGTTTGTGGACTTGATGCTTAAAAATTTTAAACCACTCCCCTAGATCTAGTGTACACAGTTCAGGCATGCTACTCCGTAGTGGAAAAGAAAGTAAATAGAGTTGACTGGGTTTCATTCAACACCTGCTTAGAGGCAGGTGGGAGGTAAATGTGTTTGTTTATGCTCCACAGGATGGAAAATGGCAAGAAACCTGTCCAAATCCAAGGCATGCATTAGGTTTCTGACCTGTGACCTCCAAACTAACCCAAAGACCAAGCTTGCGGGCTTGTCAACAATAGGAATTAGGCAGAAGCTTAAGCACAAAGAAAAGTCCCGTTATGAATTTTATAAAAGGCTTAAATCATCACCCCCAAAGGTGACATTCTTGCATGTTTAACATGGAAGATTTGGGTGCTTGTAAGTTACCTTTAAAAAATCCTTTA